CATTTTTTCCCCCTCAATCTAAACACAATACCCCATAATGACAAAGCAAAACAGGTTTAGGCATTTTTGCACATTTATTAAAATATAAAAACCGGAAATATCACATTTACATAAGTATTCAGAACCTTTACTCAGTACTTTGTTGAAGCACCTTTGGCAGCGATTACATCCTTGAGTCTTCTTGGGTATGATGCTACAAGCTCGGCACACCTGTATTTGGGGAGTTTCTCCCATTCTTCTCTGCAGATCCTCTCAAGCTCTGTCAGGTTGGATGGGGAGCGTCGCTGCACAGCTATTTTCAGGTCTCTCCAGAGATGTTCGATCAGGTTCAAGTCCGGGCTCTGGCTGGGCCACTCAAGGACATTCAGAGACTTTTCCCAAAGCAACTCCTGTGTTGTCTTTGCTGTGTGCTTAGGGTTGTTGTCCTGTTGGAAGGTGAATCTCCGCCATAGTCTGAGGTCCTGAGCGCTCTGGAGCAGGTTTTCATCAAGGATCTCTCTGTACTTTGCTCCGTTCATCTTTCCCTCGATCCTGACTAGTCTCCCAGTCCCTGCCGCTGAAAAACATTCCCACAGCATGATGCTGCCTCCACCATGCTTCACCGTAGGGATGGTATTGGCAAGGTGATGAGCGGTGCCTGGTTTCCTCCAGACATGACGCTTGGCATTCAGGCCAAAGAGTTCAATCTAGGTTTCATCAGACCAGATAATCTTGTTTCTCATGGTCTGAGAGTCCTTTAGGTGCCTTTTGGCAAACTCCAAGCGGGCTGTCATGTGCCTTTTACTGAGGAGTGGCTTTCGTCTGGCCACTCTACCATAAAGGTCTGATTGGTAGAGTGCTGCAGAGATGGTTGTCCTTCTGGAAGGTTCTCCTATCTCCACAGAGGAACTCTGGAGCCCTGTCAGAGTGACCATCGGGTTCTTTGTCACCTCCCTGACCAAGGCCCTTCTCCCCCGATTGCTCAGTTTGGCCAGGCGGCCAGCTCTAGGAAGAGCCTTGGTGGTTCCAAACTTCTTCCATTTAAGAATGATGGAGGCCACTGTGTTCTTGGGGACCTTCAATGCTGCATAAATGTTTTGGCACCCTTCCCCAGATCTGTGCCTCGACACAATCCTGTCTCAGAGCTCTACGGACAATGCCTTAGACTTCATGGCTTGGTTTTTGCTTTGACATGAACTGTCAACTGTGGGACCTTATATAGACAGCTGTGTGCCTTTCCAAATCACGTCCAATCAATTGAATTTACCACAGGTGGACTCCAATCAAGTTGAAGAAACATCTCAAGGATGATCAATGGAAACAGGATGCACCTAAACTCAATTTAAAATCTCATAGCAAAGGGTCAGATTTTTTATGTAAATAAGGTATTTCTGTTTCATTTTTAATACATTTGCAAAAATTTCTAGAAACTTGTTTTTGCTTTGTCATTATGGGGTGTTGTGTGTAGATTGATGAAGATTATATGTTTTTTTAAATCCATTTTAGAATAAGGCTGTAACGTATCAAAATTTTGAAAAAATGAAGGGGTCTGAATACTTTCCGAAAGCACTGGACAAAATTCTGGTTGGTAGTTTTTTTTATCATGTTGCTACAGACTCGACCCAGTCTTTAATTATTTTTTGCATAGTTTCTATGCAAAAGGATGGGTCATCCGTTCATAACAAAGTGGTTGCTATGCAGGTTGGATAACGTTCTTGTCACTTGCTAGCTAGCTAGCCAACTTCAGCTAACTCAGTCATGTCAACCATTGCACCTGGAATTATTTTCTTGTAGCTTTTTTTTCTATTGGTATTTACTTGGATATATCCATGAGTGACGTTGATGTGTGATTTCGCCTCAGGAAAAGTTGTCTCATTCCTCTCGTCTGGGCACTGTTCACTCTATGGTGGTACAATCAATCAATCAAATGCATTTATAAAGCCCTTTTTACATCAGCAGATCTCACAAAGTGCTATACAGAAACCCAGCCTTTAATTTAACATTTACATTACATTTTAGTCATTTAGCAGACGCTCTTATCCAGAGCGACTTACATGAGCAATTAGGGTTAAGTGCCTTGCTCAAGGGCACAGCGACAGATTTTTCACCTAGTCGGCTCGGGGATTAGAACCAGCGACCTTTCGGTTACTGGCACAACGCTCTTCACCACTAAGCTACCTGCCGCCCCATTGCCACTATAAATGTGTTCATTTGCCAATAGAAATGTGTTCAACATCCACTGAAGTAGCTAGCAAGTTTACTAGAGTAGTTGCCATGGTAACCAAACAAACAGACTTGCTAGTTTAGGTAACCAAACCATCAGTCCTAGCTTGCTATAATGAACATCAAATTCAACAATCCCAATATTGTTTTCAATTCGACTTTTGCTTTCAAAAGCAGCTCAAACAAAACATGTAAAAATGAACTATAGCCATTGAATTCTTCCTTGCAATTATACCATGCATATTTAAGCAATAAGGCAGGAGGGGGTGCGGTATATGACCAATATACCACTGCTAAGGGCTGTTCATAGCATGACGCAACACGGAGTGCCTGGATACAGCCCTTAGTCTTGGGATATTAGCCATATACCACAAACCCCCGAGGTGCCTTATTGCTATTATAAACTGGTTACACACGTAATTAGAACTTAATAAAAAAAATGTTTTGTCATGCCCCTGGTATACCACAGCTTTCAGCCAATCAGCATTCAGGGCTCGAACCACCTAGTTTATAAAGGGAAATAATGCACGCTCTAGAATGCCCTTCAAGCCAATCAGAAAGGAGTATTCAACAATGTCATTGTATGAACCAAACTAAATGCTAGGCTAGAAGCAAGGGGAAATAATGTGCGAGTTGAGATAAATACAAGAGATGATTTGGACAGCAACGTGAACACTGCTCGTCCAATCAGCATCCAGGATCCAAACCAGTTTTATTATTTGAATTTAAATGTCATATAGACTATGGTTGTTAAAATAATGAAGGATAGTTACCTGTAGCCAGTTATATTTTATCTGTCTGTTGTGCCTTGGATGCAAGTAAAAAACAAACAAATATGTATTTATTTTTATGTACATGTTGCGTGCTCTCTGACTGTTTCATTCACTGCTGTCCAGGCTTGTAGCATACTACTAATTTATCATATTTTCTCCAAAGGAAAATCTATAAAATCTATAAAATATGTTAAAGAAGAATAATGATTATTCCCAATACCTGATATTATTTTTTTTAACCAATCACACGCTTTTGTTAACTGACAGACCGGATAACCAATTACAGTGTACAGTTTTCTAATCAGCCAATAGTAGTATGGGGAGTGGTGTTCTGCTTTCGGATGAGCCAATGGGAGAAACGAGGAGGTGTCGCTTGGTGACCCTAGCAAAACGCGTTCACGAACTGGTGTGTCCGTTGTTCTTGGTTTGACTTGCTAACGGCTACAGTAGCTAGCTGAATTTTTATAAAATCTGTAAACAACATATCATCAAATCATGGAAGGCCGTGGCTACAGTTCAGGTATTTATCAAAACATTTCAATGGGTTTATATTTTGAATGGGTTATTAATGTTCAAGATATGTTATATTACTAATGTCAGCTAGCAAGCTAATTACTTACAAGCTAAAGTTAGCTAGCCATTCAAGATGGCTAGCAAGCTAAAACAGTAACGTTATTTAGTATGTTATACATGGTCCTTTTACATAAAACCTGTGTAATGCATGCATATAATACGTAGCTAGCTGTGGTTATATAGAAAGAAAACGTCACACAGTCTTAGTGTGTAATCTCATTAAAATGGAGTCCGTCTGCCACGACTTGAACTCACAATAGCGTTAAGAAAATGGCCGCCATATCCCGTTTTTCTACATTTTTTTTCTCTCCAAAGAATACATTCACCACACCCCTTCAAGTTTATGTAACCTAACGTTAATGTACTAATTAGCTATATTGCCATCGGTAACGTTGTAGCGAATGGTGTTTTACCAAAGGGTTTGAAGGTACAAGGTTGCCGACTGGTTAACGAACGTTAGCTGCAGAAACGGGCTAACGTTACCTAGCTAGGGAAGATAGTTGGTTAGCTTCTAGTTAGCTGGCTAACTAGTTTCTTTGTCAAACGTTCACCCCTGTGAATTTATTAGCTAACTCTGCTAAGCGTATTTCCCACCGCTATTATACGTCATTCTGCTATGCCACATTGCGTTATACAACCCGTTTGGAGTGCTTGTAGATAACCCTTCATTTTAAACCTCTTTCCTCTGTTAGGAGGATACTCGAGTTGGGGGGGCGGTGGAGGAGGGTCGGGGAACCGAGGTAAGAGAGAACCTGTTCACACCAGTCTAAAACATTACAGATCGGGTGTGCTCAACTGCATGCCCAATAATATTTGCCAGCGGTTTTAGTTGAACACTTTACACCACAGGAGGTTGGTGGCATCTTAATTGGGGAGGACGGGCTCGCGATAATGACTGGAGCAGAATTAGTGGAACAGTATCAAAAACATCTAACACAGTTTCCCTCAGTTCCGGCCATTATTATGAGCAGTCCTTCCCTCAGCAGCATCCTGTGCTCTACACAGCATTGATTGTGTCATCATGAGCAACAGCCTGTGTTGTAGTTGGTGTTGACTTATCATGTTTACTAAATTAACTTCTTAGCCAAAGGCGCCCTTTTCAAATTTATTGGATTTTAAACGAGGTAGCCTATGATTTGGCTCATATTTTGATTCTGGTAGCTAGCTAGCTACACCTGTATACCCTTGCTTGTAATCTGGTCCTTTGTGATCCTGTGGTCCTCTGTAGCTCAGCTGGTAGAGCACGGCGCTTGTAACGCCAAGGTAGTGGGTTCGATCCCCGGGACCACCCATACGTAAAAATTTATGCAAGCATGACTGTGTCGCTTTGGATAAAAGCGTCTGCTAAATGGCATATTATTATTATTATTTTATCCTCTGGTCTTCCACCAGGCTGCGTGGCTAGCCTATGAATTGGCTCATTTTTGTTTCATTGTAGCTTAAACCGCTACCATGGCTCATATTTTCTACCAAATATTACCTTCCCTCTATTATACCCCTACCTGTAAACTGTGTGATCCTCACCTTAAAACCATCTCTGCTCTCACCCCGGGCTCAGACAACTATGACCTGTATGGAGGGGGCTACGGAGGGGGGCAGAAGAGGGGTCTCTCTGGGAGCTCTCTGTTGTCGTCGACAGGGACCAGTGCGGACGCTGTCATCGCTAAGATTAACCAACGCCTTGACATGCTGACCCAGCTGGAGGGAGGCATGAAGGGACGCAGTGACAGGTAACACACGCATCTCTTTCTGGCTGGTAAAGGCATCCACATGCTTCCCAGCCTAAAGAGTCTGGAAGAGTTTGTGCATATTATGACGACACTGTGACGTTTTTGTTCGTTTTGGACTTAGCTAAGTTTCCCCTCCCCCGGCTGTTCGGGCAAACATTTATTTCTTGTCTACAGAGCCGACAGCTGAATGGAAGCATGCTAACGCCTTAACACACCCCTGGTTTCAACTCTCCACACACACATGTCTTTGCACTCAAGATCAATCGCACACCTTCACACAGTTGTGTAGTCTGCCTTTTCAACACTCTATACATACACACACTCTGAATCATCTGACCTGCACCGCTCCTGTGTTTTCCATACACTCTGAATCACCTGACCTGCACCGCTCCTGTGTTTTCCACACCTCTGCAGCTATCTGTTTTCCATCTCAATCCCGCTTTCTCTTCACACCTCCATCACTCTCAATCACCTCACAATGCTGCTGCCACACCCTCTCTCCCTGCTTTAATCACCAATGCTGTTGCTGCCACACCCTCTCTCCCTGCTTTAAACACCAATGCTGCTGCTGCCACACCCTCTCTCCCTGGTTTAAACACCAATGCTGCTGCCACACCCTCTCTCCCTGCTTTAATCACCAATGCTGCTGCCACACCCTCTCTCCCTGCTTTAATCACCAATGCTGCTGCCACACCCTCTCTCCCTGCTTTAATCACCAATGCTGCTGCCACACCCTCTCTCCCTGCTTTAATCACCAATGCTGCTGCCACACCCTCTCTCCCTGCTTTAATCACCAATGCTGCTGCCACACCCTCTCTCCCTGCTTTAATCAAAGCAAACACACTCCAACCTGTAATCACAACATACCACCCACATCTTTCCTGTCCTTGCATATAACCCCCCCCCCCCCCCCCCCCATATACACTCCTTAGCTAGACCCTCAGCCCCTCCCCCTGGACACGACTAGGATGTAATGGTAAGGGTTGAAGGGGAAAAAGCCAATGTATTTCGGTTGGGAACCATTTTGATTTAAAGGGTAAACTCCTATGGTTGATTTAGAACCGGGAACCATTTTTTATTTTGCTATGGATTTTCAAACCTCAAGGATACGTATTGCTTCAATTTGCTACAACGTAACATTTTAAGAATAAGTAGACTATTGCTCCGATTTGAGTCCACTCGTTTGGGTAACACAAGTAGGCTTAGTCTAAACCAGAGGGTAGCTAGCTGTAATTAGGTGGTTTTAATTGTTGTTGAAGTAGCGATAATGACTAAAGATATGAGCCTCAACCTAGCTCCTCCCACCCAGCTCTAGCGATATGAGCCTCAACCTGGCTCCTCCCACCCAGCATGTTGTCCTGGGTGTAGGTTGGTTTGTCTTCACTATACTGTCATGGTTAAGGATTCCTATTCATCTACCCAGGTAGATCCCTCACCAGCACAGTCACATTCCCCAGACACAGGGAAGTCAGCCGCATGTCATTATAGTATACTGCCCCCCTGTGGCCTGGAGGTAGAAGTGCAGCACCCACAGATCCCCCAACTGCACTCACCTATCTGATCTATCTGACTCAGAACAAACAAATACACCAACATGTCCTCTTCATCCTAACTCTCTGTGTCTGAGCGGAAGGTTGGAGGGGGGAGGAGGGAGAGAATGGGTGAGGGTGACGACAACCAAGGTCATATTTTGTCTGAGGCCCCACCTGTAAATACACAAGGAATCCCCCCCCCCCCCCCCCCCCGTATTGTGGTACAGTCTTATCACCCCCACATACAATTTGCCACATGGAACTGTCCTGTTTCTATTTGGCTGCTCTTGTCTGTCTCTCTGTGACCCCTGAACCAACCCTGATTCTGTACAGCTCCCGCTCTGTTCCCCACCTCCAACCCACATGGTAAGACACTCCACCTCATCTTGGCTAGAAAGGGGGTAACCCCCCCTTAGACCTCAGAGAGAAGGGTAGGGTGGATGAGAAATGGGGAATGCTCGAATGTGTAAACCAAATGTTGAGAGAGAAAAGCCTTCCTGTCTACCTGCCGTGAATGCCTACATCAAGACTCTGCAGCGTTGGATTGGCAGAAACATTCTGCATCATTATGACATCACTAATGTGGCTCATCATCTTGGGGGGAAACATGTCATAAAGAGAGAGGAGGAGTAAAAGGAGGGGAAGAGAGATTCCCTCCCTCACTCTCTACTCGTTCTACCACTCCCTCCCTCCCCCTTTTCGCAGGTTTGACCAATACGAGTCCTTCGACTCGCGGGGCCCCTCCCGGGATCTCTACAGATCCAGTAGCTATGGTTACGGCGATGGCCGAGGGGACATGACCCAAAGAGCTTCAGGCTTCGGAGGAGGTGGTGGTCTAGGCTCAGGCTTTGACAGCTCCTCCTCCTACGGAGCTGCTAAGATGCAGCGGCAGAACATGAGAGACTCCTTCTCCAGTCAAGGAGGAGGAAGCTGGGCCGGAGGAGGCCAGCGCTCCCCGAGAAGGGGGGGAGGCCGCGGAGGTTTTGGAGGCCGCAGATCCGACCCCACTCCCATGGGTGGAGGAGGAGGTAGGATGGGTGGAAGAGGAGGAGGCCGGGGAGGTGGCGGTCACTCCCCCGGGGGTAGGGGCAAGCTCCCATCCCTCCTGGGCCACCGCATGTCCCCCCAGACCGGGGCCTTCCACCAGTCCGCTCAACAGGGCCGGGTCCCTGGGCCCCAGGACTTCCCAGGGCGCCACTTTGGAGGGGGCCCCCAGGCAGGCCACCAGCGTGGGCGCAAGAGGCCCCTCAACCGAGTAAGTACCCTACCGTACTGCCCGCCAGTCTGCCAGCCCCACTGCAGGGCATGATGACCTACCTACCAACCCCTGTACCCCCTTCCCCCTAAACGCTCCCCTACCCTGCCTGTAGCGCCAAGGGACTGGGGAGGTGTGGATATGATTGACATGACAACTACCCAACACATTGATAGCAATGCTGCCCCTCACCCCCCTCAAACTCATAGTTTGGTCATCATACTATCGCCCCCAGTTCCTATTCAATATTGCCACAAATGCCTCTTTGATTGAACCTAACTGTCCCCCTCCCATTGAAACGGAACTGACCCGCTCCAAGAAATAGTGCCCCACCCAGCAGAGGTCTGGACCAAACTCCATTGTAATGACCTTTCTCTGGGTTTTATTCTTCTGGTTTTATTTTGCCCGGTTCTGCCCCCAGATGAGGCCTAATGGTAATAGTAGAGATACGTGGGGGAGTCCACTGAAAGTCCATTGAGAATCTATTGAAAAGTATGTTATTATAGTAATGGTGAATGGATGAAAGTTGAAGAAAGAAAAATATATATTTGTTTTATTAGGTCACTGTTGATGCAGTCCCAAAATGTTTTGCATGTCAGCAATCACGTTTTCAAGATATTTGACTTTGAAGAATCAGTGTCACTGGCTACATCAGCAATGTGCTGATGATGTCGTCGTCGTCCCCCTCCCCCCCCCACCAGCAGCAGCAGCCTGGTGGTGGTCAGCGTGACGGTCAGAAGAAGAGAAAACAGACTCTGACCGCAGCAGATGAACCAGAGTCCAAGATAAACAAGACAGAGTCCGCAGGAGGAGACACTGCTAAAGGTACCACACACAGAGAACAGACACCGCTAAAGGTACCACACACAGAGAACAGACACCGCTAAAGGTACCACACACAGAGAACAGACAACGCTAAAGGTACCACACACAGAGAACCGACACCGCTAAAGGTACCACACACAGAGAACAGACACCGCTAAAGGTACCACACACAGAGAACAGACACCGCTAAAGGTACCACACACAGAGAACAGACACCGCTAAAGGTACCACACACAGAGAACAGACACCGCTAAAGGTACCACACACAGAGAACAGACACCGCTAAAGGTACCACAAACAGAGAACAGACACCGCTAATGGTACCACACACAGAGAACAGACACCGCTAAAGGTACCACACACAGAGAACAGACACCGCTAAAGGTACCACACACAGAGAACAGACACCGCTAAAGGTACCACACACAGAGAACAGACACCGCTAAAGGTACCACACACAGAGAACAGACACCGCTAAAGGTACCACACACAGAGAACAGACGACGATGTCCACACACACTAACTACACCTATGCACTGTCTGACTTGACTATCTCTCTCTCTCTCTCTGACAGAACCAGCAGAGAACAACGGTGAAGCGAATGAGGTGAAGACCCCAGCTGCTGTGACTTAACTAATACATCTGTGTGTGTGTGTCAGAATCTCATTGTGTTTCTCTCGTCTCCAGGCAACCAAAGCCCCGGCTGATGGAGAGAAAGGTAAGATAGATTCATCTCCTCCTCCGTTACTAGACCTACTAATATCCTCTCTTCATCAACTGGTCCCTGTCCTCCTCCTCCTCTCTTCATCAACTGGTCCCTTTCCTCCTCCTCCTCTCTTCATCATCAACTGGTCCCTTTCCTCCTCCTCCTCTCTTCATCATCAACTGGTCCCTTTCCTCCTCCTCCTCTCTTCATCATCAACTGGTCCCTTTCCTCCTCCTCCTCTCTTCATCATCAACTGGTCCCTTTCCTCCTCCTCCTCTCTTCATCAACTGGTCCCTGTCCTCCTCCTCCTCTCTTCATCAACTGGTCCCTGTCCTCCTCTCTTCATCATCAACTGGTCCCTGTCCTCCTCCTCCTCACAAAATGACTATCAATAGCATTGTTTCCATGTCAACATTTAGAAAGCATTTGACAATTGCCTGCTACGGTGCTTTTCCATTTAACTGTGTTGACGTAATGACGTCACACCAAACAAACAAAACATTCCCATCTAGTGGTGAATAAAAAACAAAGTGGTTTGAAGTGTTTCCATTATCCATTTAGACAAGTTGCGCATTAATAAATTGTCGTCAGCCTGTATTCCCTCCCACCTCTCTGTTTCATGTCTCAGGTAGCCCTCGAAAGCCAGCATGGGTAGAATGCAAGAATTTACTAATGTGCCACATTCTAATAATTAATGTGCGAACGTATCGCCACGGCCGTGCCACTCCTTTAGGTCTGAAATAATTGGATGGTGAAACGGGTAGACCAGAGAAGCCACATCCCTGTTTGGCAGATGAGTGGCAACCCTGATTACAAGCACCTGCTGCTGTTTTTGAAGATGTTCTCTTTTTACCTACACACCGAAGAAGGCTGCAAAGCCGAAACGTCTGTGTACCCTGTCCTTGATGCAGTGAAATAATAACAAAAATCGAAAAATGGAGTAAGCTTAATGCGATATCTTTTTGAGTGCGGACCCATCACACCTTTTGTTTGTCTGAAACTTTCCAGCCAACCACAAAAAGCAAGGCGAAGCAATTCAGGCATTTTTGAAAGTCAGAACAATCCTTGTCCTGCAAAGAAACATAATTTTTTATAGTTGGAAAAAAACGATTTAGCAAGCAGTAGGCATTTAGAATGAAATGTGGAGCCGAGCTTATAGTTAGGTGATGCATACATGCCCCACGTACCTAAAAAAGTATACTTTTGAAAACAGTTTCCATCATTTGCCACTATAAAGAAAGTTAGACAAAAGAGAGATTGAGCTACCCCTGTTGAACAGATAAAAATGTTGGCGATCTTTAGAACATTTCTCCTATAGCTGCCGTTTCAATATTTTTTTTCTTTGTTGCGACATTGCTTTTGTCAAATAAACCTGGGCCAATGGAAACCTGCCTTCAGTCTTTCTCTTTCCAGCTCCGCCCACCTTTTATTCAAGCTTGGTGACGCCTCACAACTCCGGATGTAATGTACAATAAAGACTGTCCTTCTCCTCTTCCCCTTCTCCCTTCCACTCGTCTCTTCCATTCCCCTCTTCCCTCATCTCTTCCATTCCCTTCTTCCCTCCCATCCTCTCTCCCTCCTCTCCCTCCTCTTCCTTTCTCCCCTCCTCTCTTCCCGTCTCCCCTCCTCTCTCCTTCCCCTCCTCTCCCCTCCTCTCTCCCTTCCCCTCCTCTCTCCCTCATCTCTCCATCCGTCTTCCCCTTCCTCTCCAACTCTATAACCTCCCCTCCTCCTATTTCCCCAGTGGTGTCGATGCAGGAGGAGCTCTCTCAGATGAAGAAGAAGCTCCAAACAGGGAAACAGACTCCTCCCCAGGACAAGGTCCCCAAAAACAAGAGGAGGAGGGGCGGCTTCCTGGAAAGGTCAGGGGTCACACTAACACCCAAAAGTCAAACCCAGAGGTCAGTTATTACAAAATACATCTCTTTTATTTTCTCTTTCTCAGAGGTCAGAGTTATTATGTATATATATTATACGGAATATATCTCCTTTCCTAAATACAGTATTCACACCCCTTGACTTTTTCCACATTTTGTTGTTACAAAGTGGGATTAAAATGGATTTAATTCTTATTTTTTTGTCCATTCAATACATGTTCGAATAACCTTTACATTTACATTTTACATTTTAGTCATTTAGCAGACGCTCTTAACCAGAGCGACTTACAGGAGCAATTAGGGTTAAGTGCCTTGCTCAAGGGCACATTAACGTCATTTAGCAGACGCTCTTAGCCAGAGCGACTCACAAATTGGTGCGTTCACCCTATAGCCAGTGGGATAACCACTTTACAATTTGGGGGGGGGGGGGGGGGTTAGAAGGAATACTTTATCCTATCCCAGGTATTCCTTAAAGAGGTGGGGTTTCAAATGTCTCCGGAAGGTGGTGAGTGACTCCGCTGTCCTGGCGTCGTGAGGGAGCTTGTTCCACCATTGGGGTGCCAGAGCAGCGAACAGTTTTGACTGGGCTGAGCGGGAGCTATGCTTCCGCAGAGGAAGGGGAGCCAGCAGGCCAGAGGTGGATGAACGCAATGTCCTCGTTTGGGTGTAGGGACTGATCAGAGCCTGAAGGTACAGAGGTGCCGTTCCCCTCACTGCTCCATAGGCAAGCACCATGGTCTTGTAGCGGATGCGAGCTTCAACTGGAAGCCAGTGGAGTGTGCGGAGGAGGGGGGTGACGTGAGAGAACTTGGGAAGGTTGAACACCAGACGGGCTGCGGCATTCTGGATGAGTTGTAGGGGTTTAATGGCACAGGCAGGGAGCCCAGCCAACAGCGAGTTGCAGTAGTCCAGACGGGAGATGACAAGTGCCTGGACCAGGACCTGCGCCGCTTCCTGTGTAAGGCAGGGTCGCACTCTCCGAATGTTGTAGAGCATGAACCTGCAGGAGCGGGTCACCGCCTTGATGTTGGCGGAGAACGACAGGGTGTTGTCCAGGGTCACGCCTAGGCTCTTCGCACTCTGGGAGGAGGACACAGCGGAGTTGTCAACCGTGATGGCGAGATCATGGAACGGGCAGTCCTTCCCCGGGAGGAAGAGCAGCTCCGTCTTGCCAGGGTTCAGCTTGAGGTGGTGATCCGTCATCCATACTGATATGTCTGCCAGACATGCAGAGATGCGATTCGCCACCTGGTTATCAGAAGGGGGAAAGGAGAAGATTAGTTGTGTATCGTCAGCGTAGCAATGATAGGAGAGACCATGTGAGGATATGACAGAGCCAAGTGACTTGGTGTATAGGGAGAAAAGGAGAGGGCCCAGAACCGATCCCTGGGGGACACCAGTGGTGAGAGCACGTGGTGCGGAGACAGCTTCCCGCCACGCCACTTGGTAGGAGCGACCGGTCAGGTAGGACGCAATCCAGGAGTGAGCCGCGCCGGAGATGCCCATCTCGGAGAGGGTGGAGAGGAGGATCTGATGGTTCACAGTATCAAAGGCAGCAGACAGGTCTAGAAGGACAAGAGCAGAGGAGAGAGAGTTAGCTTTAGCAGTGCGGAGAGTCTCCGTGACACAGAGAAGAGCAGTCTCAGTTGAATGACCAGTCCTGAAACCTGATTGGTTTGGATCAAGAAGGTCATTCTGAGAGAGATAGCAAGAGAGTTGGCTAAAGACGGCACGCTCAATAGTTTTGGAAAGAAAAGAAAGAAGGGATACTGGTCTGTAGTTGTTGACATCAGTGGGGTCGAGTGTTGGTTTTTTGAGAAGGGGAGCAACTCTCGCTCTCTTGAAGACGGAAGGGACATGGCCAGCGGTCAAGGATGAGTTGATCAGCGAGGTGAGGTAGGGGAGAAGGTCACCGGAGATGGTCTGGAGAAGGGAGGAGGGGATGGGGTCAAGCGGGCAGGTTGTTGGGCGGCCTGCAGTCACAAGTCGCAGGATTTTATCTGGAGAGAGAGGGGAGAAAGAAGTCAAAGCATAGGGTAGGGCAGTGTGAGCAGGACCAGCAGTGTTATTAGACTTAACAAACGAGGATCGGATGTCGTCAACCTTCTTTTCAAAGTGGTTGACGAAGTCATCCACAGAGAGAGAGGAGGGGGGGGGGGGGGGGGAAGGAGGATTCAGGAGGGAGGAAAATGTGGCAAAGAGCTTCCTAGGGTTAGAGGCAGATGCTTGGAATTTAGAGTGGTAGAAGGTGGCCTTAGCAGCAGAAACAGATGAAGAAAATGTAGAGAGGAGGGAGTGAAAAGATGCCAGGTCGGTAGGGAGTTTAGTTTTCTTCCATTTCCGCTCCGCTGCCCGGAGCTCTGTTCTGTGAGCTCGCAGTGAGTCATCAAGCCACGGAGCTGGAGGGGAGGACCGAGCCGGCCGGGAGGATAGGGGACACAGAGAGTCAAAGGATGCAGAAAGGGAGGAGAGGAGGGTTGAGGAGGCAGAATCAGGAGATTGGAGGGAGAAGGATTGAGCAGAGGGAAGAGATGATAGGATGGAAGAGGAGAGAGTAGTGGGAGAGAGAGAGCGAAGGTTGCGGCGGCGCATTACCATCTGTGTAGGGGCAGAGTGAGTAGTGTGGGAGGAGAGCGAGAGAGAAAAGGAAACAAAGTAGTGGTCGGAGACTTGGAGGGGAGTTGCAGTGAGATTAGTAGAGGAGCAGCATCTAGTGAAGATGAGGTCAAGCGTATTGCCTGCCTTGTGAGTAGGGGGGGACGGTGAGAGGGTGAGGTCAAAAGAGGAGAGGAGTGGAAAGAAGGAGGCAGAGAGAAATGAGTCAAACGTGGACATAGGGAGGTTGAAATCCCCCAAAACTGTGAGGGGTGAGCCATCCTCAGGAAAGGAACTTATCAAGGCGTCAAGCTCGTTGATGAACTCTCCAAGGGAACCTGGAGGGCGATAGATGACAAGGATATTAAGCTTAAATGGGCTAGTGACTGTGACAGCATGGAATTCAAATGAGGAGATAGACAGCGATTACAGCTGAGGCTTTCTGGGTACGTTCCTAAGAGCTTTCCACACCTGATTGTGCAACATTTGCCCATTTTATTCTTTTAAAAATTCTTCAAGCTCTGTCAACTTGCTTGTTGATCATTGCTAGAAAACCATTTTCAGGTCTTGCCATAGATTTGAAAGCAGATTTAAGTCAAAACTGTAACTCAGCCACTCAGGAACATTCACAGTCTTCTTGGTAAGTAAAGCAAGTGTATATTTGGCCTTGTGTTTTAGGTTATTGTCTTGCGGAAGGGTGAATTCATCAGTGTCTGGTGGAAAGCAGACTGAACCAGGTTTTCCTCTAGGATTTTGCCTGTGCTTAGCTCTATTCCGTTTGTTTTTTTTTACCTTAAAAATTCCCCAGTCCTTAATACAAGCATACCCATAACATGATGCAGCCACCACTGTGCTTGGAAATATGGAGGGTGGTACTCCATAATATGTTTGAGGCAAATCCGATACAACACAACACTTTGTATTCAGGACAAAAGGTTAATTGCTTTGCCACAATTTTTGCAGTATTACTTTAATGCCTTGTTACAAACAGGATGCATCTTTTGGAATATTTGTTATTCTGTACAGGCTACTTTTAACTCTGTCAATTAGGTTAATATTGTGGAGTAACTACAATGTTGTAGATCCGTTCTCAGTTTTCTCCTATTAAGCTCTGTGACTGTAAAAGTCACCATTGGCCTCATGATGAAGTCCCTGAGCGGTTTCCTTCCTCTCCAGCAACTGAGTTAGGAAGGATGTCTGTATCTTTGTAGTGACTGGGTGTATTGATACACCATCCAAAGTGTAATTAATAACTTCACCATGCTGAAAGGGATATTCAGCGTCTGCTTTAAAAAAAATCCATCTACCAATTGGTGCCCTTCTTTGCGAGGCATTGGAAAACCACCTTGGTCTTTGGTTGAATCTGTGGGTGGAATTTACTGCTCGACTAAGGAACTTTACAGATAATTGTATGTGTGGGGTACAGAGATGAGGTATTCATTCAAAAATCATGTTAAACACTATTATTGCACACAGAGTGAATCCATGCAACTTATTATGTGACTTGTTATGCAAATTTTACCCCTGAACGTATTTAGGCTTGCCATAACAAAGGGGTTGAATACTTATTGACTCGAGACATTACAGCTTTTCATTTTAAATATATTTGAAAAATTTCACAAAACATCATTCCACTTTGACATTGTGTGTTGCAGGCCAATGACCAAAAAATCTGAATTCAATCTGTTTTAAATTCAGGCAGTAACAACAAAATGTGGAAAAAGTAAAGGGGTGTGAATACTTTCTGAAGGCACTGTATGTACTCTGTGGGGCAGAATGACCAGTTCTTCTCTCACCTCCCTCTCTCTCCCCGCTCGCCCCTCTCTCTCTCTCTCCCCGCTCCCCCCTCTCTCTCTCTCTCTCCCGCTCGCCCCTCTCTCTCTCTCTCCCTGCTCGCCTCTCTCTCCGCTCGCCCCTCTCTCTCTCTCCCCGCTCGCCCCTCTCTCTCTCTCTCCCCGCTCGCCCCTCTCTCTCTCTCTCCCCGCTCGCCCCTCTCTCTCTCTCTCCCCGCTCGCCCCTCTCTCTCTCCCCGCTCGCCCCCCCTCTCTCTCTTCTCGCCCCCCCCCTCTCTCTCTCCCCGCTCGCCCCTCTCTCTCTCTCCCCGCTCGCCCCTCTCTCTCTCCCCGCTCGCCCCCCCCTCTCTCTCTTCTCTCCCTGCTCTCTCTCCCATATTTCCTTATTTTCCTTTATATACTCGGTGAGGGCAGCATTACCTCCTGTCCTCTTTTCTTTCTCTCTCTCTGTGAATGGATGGAGGATAATGCATTACTTGACACTAACCACTTAGCTGTAGTTTCACTCACCACACCTTCCAACATATTTGCCTCTGATTGGCCCGGCAGGCTTGTTGTCTGACTGATGTTTGTGTGGTCGACAGGGTGACGTTTGCGTGCTCAGTGTGTAAGTTCCGCTCATTCTACCACGAGGACATGGCAGCCCACCTGGAGAGCAAGTTCCACAAAGATCACTTCAAGTTCTTGTCCAGTCAGCTGTCCAAACCCACCACAGACTTCTTACAGGTAGGGGGACACACACACACTCAATCAATCAAAGGCGGACACACATGCAGACGGGGACATTCTCACACACACACACACATCTTCTGTAAGTTTCCAATGTGTGTTGAGCGGAACCCCCCTCTTACTGTGTGTGTACCAGGAGTACCTGGATAACAAGTATAAGAAGACTGAGCAGAGGACCAGTCAGATGGAGAACCACTGTGCTGCCATCTGTCAAGTCTACAAGGAACAGGACCTCACCAGGCGTAAGGACAGCAGTCTGTGTGTATGTGGTGTGGACCAGGGTTTCCGTAGTCGGTAATAGCAGGCTTTTGCCCCTCCCCAACCCCAAAAAGCCGATAAATAAAATAGCCGCCGGCCAATTGTCCGGGAGAAGAAAAAATTATACGTTGCGAAATAATACATTTTAGCCTATTCATTGATGGAAATACCAGTGGATGAACTGCTGATCCAGCTCAAACAGCTGTTTGTTGCTGCTGGAGTAAAACGCGTTTAATAAGCCCAGCCATTGCGCAACAATCGCAACAACAAACTACTTTGCAATGAGCTGGAGACAGTATACATTTTGAAATATGTTTTACTACATATAATGAGGCATGTCTTACCTTGCTTCAAAGTAGCCTAGCCGAAACCAGACCAAACGTGCAGGTCATTATTAGATAGACTTCCATATGCCACTGAAACCAGTAGCCTTTTCTCTCATGTTCTATTGGTTTTCAAATCGACTGTCGGGTTTCACGTTTGGGCAAGCAAATCTTCACCATTTAAAAATGCACATTTATAATAAAGCATTCCATGCATCCACGCAGTGGCAGATTTGTGTTTTATATAGACTACTATTCCTAATGTGAGATGATTGGATAGTCATCATTTAGGCTGGTAATAGGCCTTGGAGTAGACTATAGGCTATAGATCTTATTTATTTATTTGCACAGGAAAATGTTGGCCTTTTATTACACATTTCATGCAATTCTACAACACTTTATATGACTGGAGACATTAGCAGAATCTTTTTTTTAATACGACAACATTTACAGGTTAGCCTACTCTGCTGACACCAACAAACAGATCAATAAAAAACGATATCTGGTCCGTGTAATCGGCCTCTGGAAAGGGGAGATAAGTACAATATGACGTCCATCTAACCCGGAGGAGGAAACTATTGTCCAATAACCAACAAACGTGGTACTGACCCAATCATAAAGACGGTGACTATGGACACTCACCGGGGATATGGCCGATGAATCTCCGCTGGGTCCAATAAGAGACGCTACTGTTCGCTCAATGAAGTTGAGAATTTTGAATTGTCTTCTCTTTACAGCAATAGCCATTTTTGCTTTCCAAACTATTTTTCTGTGATTTGTATTTTAAGATATTGCGATCTGCCTGTCTGGGTCTCTGCTTTTCACTGACAGTCTCAACCCAACAATAATCTATTTGGTGTTTTCAGCGCGCACTGCCCAAATTGCGGGCCCTCCGACTAGGCTATGCAATTTTAAAACAATCCACAGCTTTTAATTTTTTACGAAACTAATGATCCTCTGTGGTCAAATCATGCTTTCTGGTGTAGCAGCCTAGTTTTGAATGATTTTATTTATTTCTGTATAGATAGGAGTACGCTAATTAGGAGAGAGAATTTTGGCAACTCATATCTTCCCCTAGCCTAATGGACACGCCGCCTGTGTAGTCCAACCTCTTCAAATTGCTCATCGGAATTCGGTAAGAATGACGCACGCGTTGCATCTGAGTTTGGTTAAGATTAATAGACTAATACAAATAATTTTGTATTTATTATGGATCCCCATTAGCTGCTGCCAAGGAAGCAGCTACTCTTCCTGGGGTCCAGCAAAATGAAGGCAGTTATACATTTTTTAAAAGCATGACCTGCGCACACCCATAGAACATGTAGTGTAGAGGAGTTGACTAACGGTGAATAAAACTATAAGCTATAAAAACAAAGTCTTCAGGGTGAAGAAGGCACAGTGATGCTGAAACGGAGGTGTTTTTTTTAACCCAATAAATTACAGGGAGGTTATACGTATGGAGTGTGCGACTATTTGTTTTTACGGTTACGATTAATTACCATCATCTAAATGTGTTTTCTGTCATTCTGAGCACCGTGGGGTGGACGCCCTAATCAGGTAACGCACCCAATGCATATGGGTCCGGTACATTCTCTTAAATGTCCGGTAAATTTAAAATGCTGCCGTTCAAATGTCCGTCGCCACTTTTTCCTAATGGAAACCCTGTTGTACGTGTGGCGTGGACGTGCTGTACGTCTCTGTGTGTTACTCTTCTGTGGAGCAGGGTGGATTTGTAAAGGCCATTTCTGTGTTTTCTTTTATGCTGGTGGAACGATGCTCTGTAACAGAGTTGGGTATGGAACACTTCATGAAGAAGGTGGAGGCGGCCCACTGTGCAGCCTGCGACCTGTTCATCCCCATGCAGTTCTACGTGATACAGAAACACCTGAAGTCACCTGACCACAACTTCAACCGCAAGGTCAGAACACTACAGAGCTCCGTTTACGTTGACTGTAGGGCCGGGACGATACCAGGTCAGAACACTACAGAGCTCCGTTTACATTGACTGTAGGGCCGGGACGATACCAGGTCAGAACACTACAGAGCTCCGTTTACATTGACTGTAGGGCCGGGACGATACCAGGTCAGAACACTACAGAGCTCCGTTTACATTGACTGTAGGGCCGGGACGATACCAGGTCAGAACACTACAGAGCTCTGTTTACATTGACTGTAGGGCCGGGACGATACCAGGTCAGAACACTACAGAGCTCCGTTTACGTTGACTGTAGGGCCGGGACGATACCAGGTCAGAACACTACAGAGCTCCGTTTACATTGACTGTAGGGCCGGGATGATACCAGGTCAGAACACTACAGAGCTCCGTTTACATTGACTGTAGGGCCGGGACGATACCAGGTCAGAACACTACAGAGCTCCGTTTACATTGACTGTAGGGCCGGGACGATACCAGGTCAGAACACTACAGAGCTCCGTTAACGTTGACTGTAGGGCCGGGATGATACCAGGTCAGAACACTACAGAGCTCCGTTTACATTGACTGTAGGGCCGGGATGATACCAGGTCAGAACACTACAGAGCTCCGTTTACATTGACTGTAGGGCCGGGACGATATCAGGTCAGAACACTACAGAGCTCAGTTTACATTGACTGTAGGGCCGGGACGATACCAGTATCGCCATACTCTTTACAATCGTGGCAAGGAAACAAAACACGAAGCAGATTGAACTTCTTTAGCAAAACAGTCCTAATGTTGGAAACGAACATCATTATGTTGTCATCCAGAGTCACATTTATTTCCTATACTATAGCACACAATATTTTACATACAGCAGGTTTCTAAAGGACCAACGAGTTTGGTCTGCTTCCTGTCTTCATTTTGGCCATGGAAAAGATATTGCGATACTGGTATCGTCCAGGCCCTAATTGATTGGTTGATAGTTAAAAGTAGAACGCTGGTCCAGCTGGACATTAGAGGATAAAACACCATTGTGGTCCTTTTTGGCAACAAGATGACAGGCGTTAACTCTAGCTAACTAGACACCTAGGCTCAAGTCTGAAAACGCATACGTCCATACTCCAAAGCATGCTCACAATGGCTAATCAGGGCTAAGCGCCAGGACTATATCAACTCCACTTGGTTTAGATTTGCAGGGAGAATGGATAGTTCGATGCAGAGAAGATTTGGAGGAACAAGCACTTTTTTGCTATGCCCTCCCTGACTTTTTCCCACTGACCCCTGTGTGACCTTTGCCTCCTGTGTGACCCCAGGGTATGATGGAGCAGTCTAAGAGGGCCAGTCTGTCTGTGGCTCGCAGCATCCTCAACCACAAAATCATCGGCAAGAAGCTGGAGAGTTACCTCAAGGTACACACACACGCCTATCTCACACAGAACCCCCCCAGAAACACTGACTCACTGTCCCTTACACACGCTCTGTCTGTCTCGCTCTGTCTCTCTGACCCTGTCCTTGCTCTCTCTCTGCAGGGTGAGAACCCCTTCCTCGGTAACCAGGACGACCAGGACGCAGAGGACTCAATGATTATGGAGGTGTCGGGGGCCGAGCTCACCAATGAGAGCCTGGCGGAGGCGGAGACCACCAAGGAAGAGGCGGGGCCAGAGACATCGCAGGCGGCCACCGGGGCTGATGGGGTAGAGGAGGAGAAGATGGAGGAAGGAGGAGGAGAGGAGGGAGGAGTGGCGGTGGCAGACGGAGGGGAGGAGGAGGCGCAAGTAGAGGAGGCGGCAGGAGGACAGGGAGAGGGGGAGGCTGAGGGAGAGCTGGAGCAGGGAGGAGAGGAAGAGGAAGAAGGGTTTGAAGTTGGGGATGAGTTTGGAGAGGAGGATGAGGGAGTGGAAGGAGAGCTGGGAGAGGAAGAGGAGGATGAAGGAGTGGGAGGAGAGGATGAGGGTGTGGTGGCAGAGAAGAAAGACCAGGATGCTGACGTGGTCGTCATAGAGTGACCTTTACCCCTCCCTCTGGACCAATCAACACAGCCCTCCCTCCCCTGTCCAGCCAATCCCACTCTACCCCTCCCTCACACAGCCCATCAGATTCATTTATACTTACTGTACATCCCGCCCGCCTCCATTCAGAACCTTTACTGACTAATATACATCTGATATACTTTCTCTCTGTTTGTGGAAGTAAACTTTTTTGTTGTGCCTTTTGAATATGTCAGGCTACGTTGGGATATTTTGACCATGTTTCAGTAGGTAAAGGACCGTGAACTTAGTGTTATTGATAATGACACACCCACACGCCCCCTACCTGGTATTACGGCTGGCCACGCTCCCTGTCCGTCATAGCTAGATTCTTAGGAAGTCAGAGCGGATTGGTTTGTCTCTTATCGACTCCTCCCAAACGTGCAAAACATAATTGAAATGTATTTCCTGGTGTGTGTTTTAGATTGAAAGATGGGGCTGGGTTTAGTTTTACAGATGGTTGCTGTTATCATCTGTATGTTGTTCTTGTTCTTTTTTGGACAGATGAGAATAAATGTTTAAAATGTTTATCTGTTGTTGGTTTGGTTTCTTTGTTGAAGCTGCATTTCTGGTAGCATTGGTCCCAGATCTGTTTGCAAAAAGAGAGACCTAAGACGACAACAAAGCATGGCAGCAACACCACATGACAACAACATGGTAGCAACACAACATGGCAGCAGCACAAAACATGGTACAAACATTATTGGGCACAGACAACAGCACAAAGGGCAAGAAGGTAGAGACAACAATACATCACCTGAAACAGCCACAACTGTCAGTAAACGTGTCCATGATTGAGTCATTGAATGAAGAGATGGAGATAAAACGATCCAGTGTTTTTTGCAGCTCGTTCCAGTCGCTAGCTGCAGGGAACTGAATAGAGGAGCGACCCAGGGATGTGTGTGCTTTGGGGACCTTTAACAGAACGTGACTGGCAGAACGGGTGTTGTATGTGGAGGATGAAGGCTGCAGTAGGTATCTCAGATAGGGGGGAGTGAGGCCTAAGAAGGTTTTATAAAAAAGCATCAACCAGTGGGTCTTGCAACGGGTATACAGAGATGACCAGTTTACAGAGGAGTATAGAGTGCAGTGATGTGTCCTATAAGGAGCATTGGGGGCAAATCTGATGGCCGAATGGTAAAGAACATCTAGCCGTTCGAAAGCACCCTTCCCTGCCGATCTATAAATGACGTCTCCGTAATCTAGCATGGGTAGGATGGTCATCTGAATCAGGGTTAGTTTGGCAGCTGGGGTGAAAGAGGAGCGATTACGATAGAGCAAACCAAGTCTAGATTGAACCTTAGCCTGCAGCTTTGATATGTGCTGAGAGAAGGACAGTGTACCGTCTGGCCATACTCCCAAGTACTTGTATGAGGTGATTACCTCAAACTCTAAACCCTCAGAGGTAGTAATCACACCGGTGGGGAGAGGGGCATTCTTCTTACCAAACCACATTACCTTTGTTTTGGAGGTGTTCAGAACAAGGTTAAGGGCAGAGAAAGCTTGTTGGACACTAAGAAAGCATTCAACACATCTGGGGAGGGCTCAGCTGAGTATTACCTGCATATAAATGGATGAGAGAGCTTCCTACTGCCTGAGCTATGTTGTTGATGTCAATTGAGAAGAGCGTGAGGCCTAGGATCGAGCTTTGGGGTACTCCCTAGGTGACAGGCAGTGGCTGAGATAGTAGATGTTCTGACTTTATACACTGCACTCTATGAGAGAGGTAGTTAGCAAACCAGGCCAAAGACCCCTCAGAGACACCAATACTCCTTAACCGGCCCACAAGAATGGAATGGTCTACCATATCAAAGGTAGCAAGTCAATAAAAATAGCAGCACAACATTGCTTAGAAACAAGGGCAATGGTGACATCATTTAGGACCTTTAAGGTTGCAGTGACACATCCATAACCTGAGTGGAAACCAGATTGCATACCAGAGAGAACACTATAGACATCAAGAAAGCCAGTCAGTTTATTATTGACAAGTTTTTCCAACGCTTTTGATAAACAGGGCAAAATAGAAATTGGCCTATAACAGTTAGGATCAGCTTGATCTCCCCCTTTAAATAAAGGATGCACAGTGGCTGCCTTCTAAGCAATGGGAACCTCCCCAAAGATGAGAGACAGGTTAAAAAGGTCAGAGATAGGCGATGATGAGGGGCTGCAACCTTACAGAAGAAAGGATCTAAACCATCTGACCCAGATGTTTTTTGGGGTCGAGTTTAAGGGGCTCCTTTAGCACCTCAGACTCAGTGACCTGCAGGGAGAAACTTTGTAGCGGGGCAGGGGAAAAAGAGGGAGGAGCATCTTGGCTAGTCGCATTAGAAGGGCTGGGAGATTAGGAATTGTTGGACGGGCAATGAGGCATGGCTGAGTCAAATAGGAATCCTGACTTAATGAAGTGGTGATTTAAAGAGCTCAGCCATGTGCTCCTTGTCAGTAACGACCACATCATCAACATTAAGACTATCATTTTTATATCATGGATGGTCAGTCCTTGCATCCATAGCTCTATGAATTTGAGTGGTTACATTTCTCCAGCCCCATCCCTCAGCTGTTTACCAAAACAGGAGCGGGGAGTGGGCTTTGTTATTGTTTCTGCTGCTTTAAGGTATTCTCTTAACATAACAGTGCATTCTGCATAATTAAATCTTGTTGACTGTGATGACCATGAATGAAATAAAAGGAAGGCACAAGTGGGCTGTATCCATCACGTGATCTATACTGAACAGAAATATAAACGCAACATGCAACAATTTAAAAGATTTTATTGAGTTCCCAGTCATATAAGGAAATCAGTTATTTAAATAAATTCATTAGGCTGTAATCTATGGATTTCACATGACTGGGAATACAGATATGCATCTGTTGGTCACAGATACCTTTAAAAACAAGGTAGGGGCGTGGATCAGAAAACCAGTCAGTATCTGGTGTGACCACCATTTGCCTCATGCAGCGAGATACATCTCCTACCCATAGAGTTGATCAGGCTGTTGACTGTGGCCTGTGGAATGTTGTCCCACTCCTCTTCAATGGCTGTGCGAAGTTGTTGGATATTGGTGGGAACTGGAACACGCTGTTGTACACGTCGATCCAGAGCATCCCAAACATGCTCAATGGGTGACATGTCTGGTGAGTATGCAGGCCATGGAAGAACTGGGACATTTTCAGCTTCCAGGAATTGTGTACAGATCCTTGCGACATGGGGCCGTGCATTATCATGCTGAAACATGAGGTCATGGCAGCGGATTAAAGGCACGACAATGGGTCTCAGGATCTCGTCACGGTATCTATAATTTTGAACTGAAAGACCTGAACTCTCACTCTGAGAGGCTTGATACTACCAAAGATTGTCTATTATATTGAGAAGATATTTGAGTGACCGCTTTAACAATGGAAATACATGTCCTAAAAGATGGAAGGCAGGCGGGAGGAGTCGAGATCAGGTGGGAAGGGAAAGGGGATATCTAGTCAGATGCACAACTGAACGCATTCAACCGAAATGTGTCTTCGGTGTTTAACTCAACCCCTCTGGATCAGAGAGGTGAGGTGGGCTGCCTTAATCTACATCCACGTCATCGGCGCCCGGGGAGCAGTTGTTGTTGGGGGTTAACTGCCTTGCTCAAGGGCAGAACGGCAGATTTTTTCACCTTGCCGGGGATTCGAATCAGCGACCTTTTGGTTACTGGCCCAATGCTCTTAACCGCTAGCCAATGAGAGGGCAGATACACGTGTGAACAACAGGCCATAGAGATAGGCAGAGGATCATCTTTGTATCTGTGCCATTAGAGCGTCTGTGACAGCATGGGCAGGGCCATTGAGGCTATCTCCATTTTAAAGTAGTTCATTTTCTTGTTCTTCATTAGCTGACTGCTCCCAACTCATAGGAATCACCACCCAGTTGACTACTTTAAAATGGTGGAAACCCTTAATGGCAATGCTAAAACGGTTTATATCCATGATGAGTCTTACATTTGATATTTTAGTCATTTAGCAGAGCGACTTACAGTTAGTGAGTGCATACATTTTTTTAGTCTTCTATCGCTATGACAACAGGCACAACTCAAATATAATGTTGTTTTGCCATGTGCGTCCACTTATATCATCAGTACATTTGTAAACAATTTAACCATTACCAAATTCTATTTGATCAAATAAGCCTCACGTAGCAAATGATCAGTAAACCTCTCACTTCGCCTCTTCCTCTCTGATACTACCTTACCTGTGATTGATTGATCACTCCACTAAAGGTGGAATTAATTGTATTTCTTCAAGGTAGACTTTACATCCATGTGAGTTTATTATACGAGATTTAAGAACCCTAGTTTATAAATCATTATTTATAGAAGGTTAATTATGCAATTGTTTAATAATCCATCACAATAAATTATCCATCATTGAGAGTTTGGGTTACGCGGCAATAGGGCAAATTAATTGTGATGCTATGTATGGCCTTTTATGCAGACCACGTATATTGGAAAGTTCTGTATAATCAATTTCTTGTTTGAAGTTATGCATGTCCGGAGATAGAGTAGGGAGAGAGAGAAGGAACAGGTGTCATGAAACAAACGTCAAAAATACACAGAATTCACCCTCGTCTGACTTCAAACGGGCTGTTGGTTCAGGATTTGGGTGTAGCAAAATATCATGATAAACCGACAGAAAAAGGTAATAAACGTTTTTGGGGTCTCTCTCGACGACACCGGTATGGTAAAACGAGGCAATTCGAATCTCAGGAGTCCGAGTAAACATCAGAACCACACTCGGTGCGTATTTCGGTTGGTGTCCCGTGCGCGAGGTGCCTAAACGTGGATGGGCTGTCTTATCAGGCTGTCGCCGGGTGCGATGAATAGTCTCTGTATTTACGTTACCTGATTTGCATTATTGCACATTGGTTATGTTCTCATGCTCCTTGGGGTATAACGGTTTTTCGGGGCTCACCCTAGTCATACGTTGGGCTTGAGCAGCAGTTTGTA